AAAATGTATCTTTGATATTTGTTTGAAAATGTGAAGGATATATATCCAATGCTTACTTCCCACAAAATGAACGGTGCAAATTTTTTCTCAGATTATACTGATTCTTTTGGTATAATTTGCAAAGTAAATAATCAGTTTTATGTTTTCTCTGTTAAAAAAAAGAAAAAGTTTAGTTCCATGCTATTTCAATTACAAAGGAATACATTTATTATTTAAAGTTAATGCAATGGAGTTAATGTTATTAAAATAAAACACAATATTTCCAAAACCTTATTGCATTTAGTAGCAATTTCACTCCTAACCATCTACTTTTGGTGAGAGATCCTAAAGACTAGTAATTTCTTAATTTTGCCTTTCCATCTAACTTCCTAAATGCTTTGAATCATGCTTGTATCTTGTATTTCCACCCAAAACTATGCTAGTGTCAGCAAAAAACACTCTGAAAATTTAAGTTAAAAAAATAGTATCTCACAGGAATCTAGGCTTACCTTGTAAAATTTCTTCTTTTAATTTTGAAAATGAGGCAGTGTTCCCAAAATTGATAGATTAAAATTTAAGAATATTTCCTGGTTACATATAATGTACCAATATTTCTTTTTCTTAATTTAGGAATATAGAAAAAAAGAGAAGAGTTTTTAAGCCGATTGTTTACTTAGAGAAGCCTCTTACCTAAATGAGAATCATAATAGGTAGCTTTATAGTACTTAACATTATAAGACCTCCAATCCTATTTTGTACACTGTGCTCGTTTTCCTCAAGGGAATTCACTGATTAAAATTTTTTTTTAAGAGAAGGAAACATTTCCTCAGAGGACAATAGTACAATAACATTAAAATGCTATTGTTAAAGATCATTTTATTAATGGAATAACACTCCTTTATCCTCAAACTCAAACTTTAAATAGAGACAATTTTTTCTATGAAGCAGTTATTTATTATGGAATGCCATGGGGTTTCAAGGATATGTAATTAAGCTGATAGTGCTGTGTCAATTATATACTTAGAACATGAATATGGTATTTGAGTGGAGAACAAGGATTTATTAAGTACATGTACTCATATTGAGTAAGTAAACAGCTCTTCATGCACCTATAGAGTAAGCTTTTGAGGGCCATCCAATGAGTGACACACTTAAAATCTTAATCTATAAGATTTATAACTTCATGCCAGCATTGACAAAGAAAACATTATGCACGGTGACATTAATAGCTAAGATAATGAAAATCTCACAACTGAACTAATAGAAAACCTCATGATCAATGGAGAGGAGATTTGAGTCGGCAAAGATTTCATTTTACTTGGATTCACAATCAGCATTGTGGAAATAGCAATCAAACGATGTATTACATTGGGAAAAATCTACTTCACATTGATTTCTCTTTTGACCCATTTTAAAGTAGTTTCAGGTTTTAATATCTTACATTTTCTTTTATACTAAGGTCTTTCAATGTTTTGGGTAGTCATTTTTGTTGAGGTTTTGTTTACTCCCTGTTTGTATTATGTATGGTTTTCTGTTTATGAAGCCAAATAGAGTCTATATAGATGGCAACTGGATTGGTAATCATCTGGAGAGTAATGTAGGGAGAAAGAGGGAGATAATAACAATGAATACAAGAAAAAATATGTTATGAAAGAGGTCTGGGGGGGCCAGCCCCAATCCCAACTACTAAGTGGACACCTGCCCCTTCCCCCAGAAGAATTTATTTCAAAGGATGGCATTGAATCTGCAG